TGCCTAGGGCGGCAAAAATCCTTGCACCGGCCCTGCCCCTAGCCACCTAGATGGGGGGCATGCCACTATTTGAGGGGGTGAACAATGGCATGTCCCCAACAATTGTTTAATTTTCTAGAGTCCCCACCTACTGCCCATGGCTGATGGGGATGGGGGACTAATTAATTTTGTTGCTTGATGCCATAAATAGTACTTAAAATTATTGTTCACCTGCATAAAAGCATCCTGCGAATGTGCATCCTGCTGGATACATTAGGTCCTGGATTTCTGTTAAATTTGTGTTTTGTTAATCTTCTAAATCCTACACTTTCAATAGGATTTGGTTGCGAAAGCACAGATTTTAATCCAGACATTGAATGCATCCAGGAAATTGCTGCATAGTCCCTTGGGCCAACCGAATTGCGAACATAGTTTGCTTGAATAAATATGAGAATAACCATTGTGTTTGCAGTTTGGTAATTTTCAACAGACTCTTTTACAACTGGAGAAAATTTGGTGTTTAGTGAACAACCCTGTTAACTTTATTTTCCAGACTTCACAAAAACTGATTTTTTTAAATAAAGGGAACAATATTACAATTCCTGGTAATAGCCATTGCAGCCTGCCTCATCATGCGACGACAAGGTTTATGTCTCAAAAGCATCCCTGCTAATGCTCTTGGCCTCATAAAATGGCAGGACCTGGGTATCAAAAGGGGTACCCGGTAGAGCTGAACGAACCCGAACTGAAAAGTTCGGGTTCGTACCGAACATTAAGTTTTTTGGACCCCAGACCCAAACACGGACATATCACTGTATGTTCGGGTTGGAGTTCGGAGTTCGGCGATTTAATGACACGTTTTGAAAGGCTGCGGGACAGCCAATCAACAAGCGTTTGATTCGGGTGCCCTTAGACGCCATCACAGCCATGCTTGAAATCCACCAATCAGAGTGCTCTGTGTCATTTTACACAGCGTGGGAACGTTCTTTGGAATTTTCCCACGCTGTGTAAAATGACACAGAGCACTCTGATTGGCTGGATTTCAAGCTAACCAATCAGAGTGCTCTGTGTCATTTTACACAGCATGGGAAAATTCCAAAGAACTTTCCCACGCTGTGTAAAATGACACAGAGCACTCTGATTGGTTAGCTTGAAATCCAGCCAATCAGAGTGCTCTGTGTCATTTTACACAGCGTGGGGAAGTTCTTTGGAATTTTCCCACTCTGCGTAAAATGACACAGAACACTCTGATTGGTTAGCTTGAAATCCAGCCAATCAGAGTGCTCTGTGTCATTTTACACAGCGTGGGAAAGTTCTTTGGAATTTTCCCACACTGTGTAAAATGAAACAGAGCACTCTGATTGGTTACTTAATCCACCAATCAGAGTGCTCTGTGTCATTTTGGATTTCAAGTCAACCAATCAGAGTGCTGTGACAGGTAAATGTAGAGACTTACCTGTCAGTCTCTTCATTTACCTGTCAGAGCACTCTGATTGGATGGTTTAACCCAACAATCAGAGTGCTCTGAGCCTAATTGCAGGGCAGGGCAAGGCTTTATAAGCCTTCACCTGCCCTGCAGAGCTCAGTCTGCGCAGAGCCCTCCATGGGTGAAGAAGGATTTTGGTTATTCTGAATTTTTATTTGGCCTTTTTGGGGGCTGAAAAATAAGATTTTAGAAGAAAGAATATATCAAATGGTAAGTCTATTTTTTTTTAAACAGGTATTTAGACAAGGGTCCCCCCTCATTATTTTTAGGATGAGGGGGGTAGGTAGGGGTAATTTTTTTGGGGGGAGGGGGGTGACTAGGGGTGGGGATTTTTATTTATGGCCCCCACCCACCGCTCAGAGGTGGGGGCCGGGGGGGAGGATATTAGGTCCCCCCTTATTGTTATTTAGGGCCCCCACTCGCCGCACAGGGGTGGGGGGTGGGAGGGAACCTTAGGTCCCCCCCTTATTGTTATTTAGGGCCCCCACCCACCACGCAGGGGTGGGGGCCGGGGGGAGGATATTAGGTCCCCCCCAATTTTTATTTATGGCCCCCACCCACCGCTCCGGGGTTGCGGCCGGGGGGGAGGACAGTAGGTCCCCCCCCCATTTTTTATTTATGGCTCCCACCCACTGCTCAGGGGTGGGGGTGGGGGGGAGGACAGTAGGTCCCCCCCTTATTGTTATTTAGGGCCCCCACCCGTTACGCCACTGGCTGCTCACTGTTTGCTAGACATGCCCCTACTCGCGATATAGCGAGTAGGGGCTGAATTTACTAATGCTAAGTAACTTTACTTAGTTTTAGTAAATGTGTCTGGAAGACCAATTTAGGTGACCAATTTAGGTCTTTCAGCCTTTTGGTAGATAGTTCCCTAATACCGTGTGAATTAGGGAGTTATCTACTAAGCGGCTGCTTATTTTATGTTACTTTTAAGTGATTTCCCTATCCACATTTGTTTGCAGGGCACCTGTCCTACTCTTACTCACATTTTACTTCCTTTTTCAGCCCTCTAGCCCTTTCCAGGAGTTTTTTAGAGCCATTTTTGTTGGCAAAAGTTTGGGTCCCCATTGACTTCAATGGGGTTCGGGTTCGGGGTCAAGTTCGAGGCCGAACCCGGTCTTTTTTTCAAAGTTCGGCTGAACCCGCTGGACCCGAACATCGAGGTGTCCGCTCAACTCTAGTCCCCAGTGCTGCTGGCCACATAATGTAGCAAAGTCTTGTACATGATACCTCTTTCCTCTTCTACAGTAAATGCTATTATGAAAGTGGACATTCCTCCTTGGAGCCATCTTTGCAAAAAATAGAAGACCCAATATTGACAGTATACAAAGAACTCCCGTATACTACAGTGCCACTTTAATCTATACACTTGCTGTCGACATTACCACTACAATATATAGATTTTAATATATACCTTCTGTAATGTAAAATTGTCATTACTTTAACCCCTTAAGGACAGAGGACGGTTCAGGACCGTCATCGGCATTTTTGCCTTGCCGACCGATGACGGTCCTGAACCGTCCTAACGGTCTGGGGGTACTTACCTGATCGCCGTCGTTCCCCCGGCGGCGATCAGCGTGGCTCCGGTTGTGGGGAGACTGCCTGCAGCCCAGACAGTCTCCCCGCGGCAGATTAGGACCCCTGTGGCCATGTGATCGCTTAACACAGCGATCACATGGTCACAATAGGTGTCCATGTGTCTGCCTGCAGGGGGACTGCCTGTGCTGACAGGCAGTCTCCCTGCTAGTGTAAAATCAAAAAATAAAATAAAGTTAATGTTAATTAAAAAAATAATAATAATTATATATGTGTATATATGATATATAGACATATATTATATCTATATAATATATGTCTATATATCATATATATAATGCCATACTAAGTGTATTTTTATATTAATATGTACTTATATTAATATAAAAAATACACTTATAATTAAATTACACACGTATATATATAATATATATAATAACTATATATATTGTATATATATATTGTCATGTTATAATAAAGTACCAGTCTAAATAAAAATTTTTTTAAATAATAATAAAAAATTTAAAAAAAATTATATAGCTATATGAAATTTTATTCTAACTGTATTTTAAAATTAATATATATTTATATCAAAATACACTTAGAATTAATTTGTATATATATCTATGTATATAAAAATAAATAAAAATAATAAGAAATATACATACATCCATATACAAAATTACATAAATAATTATATAAATATACACGTAGACTTCAAATATATAAATATGCATATATATTTAAATTCTACGTGCGTATTTATGTAATATTTTTACATAATTCAATAATTTTATTGATTGCAATTTGAGGGACCTGCCTGCCAACCCAGGCCGAAATTCCAGAGAATTTAATTTGCTAGCACTGTATTTTACCCTGTAACGTTCTACGACACCCTAAAACCTGTACATGAGGGGGACTGTTTTACTCGGGAGACTTCGCTGAACACATAGTAGTGATTCAAAACAATAAAACATATCACAGCGATGATATTGTCAGTGAAAGTTACTTTTTTTGCATTTTTCACACACAAACAGCACTTTTACTGATGATGTAATTGTTGTGATACGTTTTCCAGTTTTTAAACACTAATATTTGTGTTCAGCGATGTCTCCTGAGTAAAACAGTACCCCCCATGTACAGGTTTTATAGCATTTTTGAAAGTTACAAGGTCAAATATATGGGTCAAATATTTTTACATTGAAAATGGCCAGGTTGGTTACGCTGCCTTTGAGAGCGTATGGTAGCCCAGGAATGAGAATTACCCCCATGATGGCATACCGTTTGCAAAAGAAGACAACCCAAGGTATTGCAAATGGGGTATGTCCAGTCTTTTTTAGTAACCACTTGGTCACAAACACTGGCCAAAATTAGCGTTCAATTTAGTTTTTTTACTTTTTTTCACACACAAACAAATATGAATGCTTACTTTGGCCAGTGTTTTCGACTAAGTGGCTACTAAAAAAGACTGGACATACCCCATATTGAATACCCTGGGTTGTCTACTTTAAAAAAAATATGTACATGTGGGGTGTTATTCAGAGATTTATGACAGATAATAGTGTTACAATGTCACTATTGATAAATTTTTAAAATGTATGTTTTGAAACCGCAATATCCTACTTGTACCTATAGCCCTATAACATGCAAAAAAAAAGCAAAAAAGCACGTAAACATTAGGTATTTTTAAACTCAGGACAAAATTTTGAATCTATTTAGCAGTTTTTTCATTCGCTTTTGTAGATGAGTAAAAGATTTTTCAAGTAAAAGTCAAAAAACATGTATTTTCTTCAATTTTTCATCATATTTTTTTATTTTTTTAAAATTAAAATACATGAGATTATATAAATAATGGTATGTAAAGAAAGCCCCTTTTGTCCTGAAAAAAACAATATATAATTTGTATGGGAACAGTAAATGAGAAAGCGGAAAATTACAGCCAAACACAAACACCACAAAAGTGTAAAAATATTCCTGGTCGCAAATGTACAACATCGCAAAAACAGTCCAGTCCTTAAGGGGTTAAACATTTTAATTGACTAAAGGGAAAATGAATAAATCGTGTAGAATCTAGGAGCAGCTAACATTTAGTCTTTTCCTTGAAAAATTTAAGGATTCTAAATGGAATGTCAAAAATATCAAGCATTGCAGTCCGTGTTGCTTCTATTATTGTAACAAAGCTTAGTTAGTGGAACAGTTGTCTCCCACACTCTATAATCATAATTCCTATATGAATGGCCTTACGACTGCTGACAGCAAAACAATTCCTGTTAACTAAAACATTTGAAGTCTATGCCGAGGAATTAAATCCTCACAATTCCTTGATAGGCTTTTGTTTTCCAAAGCTAATATCACACAATGAAATATGTCAGGAGACATGCCAAACACATCAGCTTTGTAAAGCCAGATGGTGATATAAGGCATACATACCTAGGTTCCTGACATCCATTCAGACTTTCCACACTGTATTTTTATCTCATCATTTACAATTGTTTTTGAAAATGAAATCAACAAAATGCTTAGGTGAGGTAATGCCTGAGTGAGATTAATTGGCCAGTTGCTCTAAATAAAGTTTTATATTGTCAAATGACTTCTTATTTATAGTCACCATATATCCCACATTTTTAGGGACAGTACCAAATATTAAACTTTTGTCTGGAACAGAAATTAAAATAATTTTTTGCTACAACCATGTTTTGAGAACACGGCTAAAAGTTTATAGACTAGATTTTGCCAATGCAGTTATATTTTAATATTCTTCTCAAGATGGTCACATTCTAGTCAACTGAAAGGTTGAATTAGTGATGAAAGCCAAAACCGAGTATATAAGAATACTAATAATAAGTAGAACCTCAATTAGCCTGCACTTTGGTTAGTCCCTGCTCATGTCGAGGGCATGAACTAAGGCCATCCCGAGTTACTATGTAACTTAATGTGGATTGCCAAGTTTCACTTTCATCACTGTTGAAGTCCACAATCAGCCAAATAAGCTCTGTCAACTATGAGTGCCTAATGGAAATGATGTGGTGCATTTTAGCTGCTTTTCTGTGGGGGTCATTTCACCGACTTCCAGGAATGTAGAATTTAAATGTGGGTCCTTATCTCCCTTAATAAAGACTTCTTTCTGTAAATCACATACACAATTTTCAGGTAAATCTTTACATGCACATTCAATTCTGTCTCAGACCTTCTGTCTCTCAAAATATCTTCTCACTCACATCTCTAGGACTTCATTGTGGGATCTTTCTTGCCTTGACTACTGCAATCCCCTTCTCAGTGATCTTACATATAAACATAGAATGTGATGGCAGATAAGAACCATTCAGTCCATCTAGTCTGCCCAATTTTCTAAATACTTTCATTAGTCCCTGGCCTTATCTTATAGTTAGGATAGCCTTAAGCCTATCCCACGCATGCTTAAACTCCTTTATTGTGTTAACGTCTACCACTTCAGCTGGAAGGCTATTCCATGCATCCACTACTCTCTCAGTAAAGTAATACTTACTGTTATTAGTTTTAAACCTTTGCCCCTCTAATTTAAAACTATGTCCTCTTGTTGTGGTAGTTTTTCTTCTTTTAAATATAGTTTCCTCCTTTACTGTGTTGATTCCCTTTATGTATTTAAATGTTTCTATCATATCCCCCCCATCTCGTCTTTCCTCCAAGCTAACATGTTAAGTTCCTTTAACCTTTTCTTGTAAGTTTTATCCTGCAATCCATGAACCAGTTTAGTAGCCCTTCTCTAAACTCTCTCTAAAGTATCAATATCCTTCTGGAGATACGGTCTCCAGTACTGCGTACAATACTCCAAATAAGGTCTCACCAGTGTTCTGTACTATGGCATGAGCACTTCCCTCTTTCCACTGCTAATACCTCTCCCTATACAACCAAGCATTCTGCT